CCGACTCGTTCCACCACTTTCTCCCAGAGTTTAAGATTTTGTCAGTGAAGAATTACTCACTGAAGGATCTGGATCTCAGAGAAACACCCTGAAAAAGCCCAACAGCAACAGCATATGTATCTGCAACCGAGAAGTCAGTCCAGGGAGCCCAGCATAGCTCCATACTGCAGCGATCTCATCCCAACAATGCAAACTTGGCTGTCTCCAGCTGGGCACCATGAGCAACTTGGGCAGCTATTATAGCAGCAGAGAAGCAGATTTAGCCATTTTTTTTTTTCTTTTTTTCAAAAAGCTGAAATCACCAGCTTTTGGGGCTCACTGGCTCCCCACAAAGCACACAGCCCTGCAAGTCCCAAACCACATGGGCACAACACAGGCGCCACTTACCACCCATAGCAGAGGCCATTTCCTCACCAGGGCAATGCAGGGTGGACCCAAACACTTTCCTCCTGCTGAATCTCAGCCCCAGGGCACCTAGGCTCCATAAGACTTGTTACTATTACTAAAATAAATGAACAAAATAAATAAATAAACCAAGACTCACTTTTTTTCCAAGAAGGCCCCTATCCCACAGCAGCCAGTTGACTTCCCAAAGCTCTTCTGCACCTCCAGCAGCCACCCCTCTCCTTCCCAGGTGTCCATGCACAAGCAACAACTCATCACACCCGCAGCCCAACACCCTCCTCCCTGCAGCTGCTCGTTACTGCCTTCCTCAGGTGGCTTCACTAAGTACATCCCCTCCGGCCAGGCCCAGACCTGGTACCAGCACAGTTGAGGTCGGACAGGGAACTGTGCACCCTGGCTCCAAACACCAGCAGTCTCCCTAGGTTCCTGCTACAAGACCTCTCTTATTCATGGAGACTGTACCATTTTGAGGACATATGCCAATTCAGCACCGTGTTTCAGGAACTGCTCAGCCCATATGAGTCCAGTGGTATCTTCTGGGCTTAAACCACTCAAGTAGTATATGGAATTACAGTGCCAGTTGCAAGGAATGTAAGAGAATCCCTCTGTCTCCTTTTTTCCCCTCTGAGAAAATGGAAGTCTTACTTTGGAAAGGTCAGGCCCCAGGTGAGGTGAGGGCAGAGGCTGCAGGTACCAGGCAGCACAGGGACAGTCACCTCGCTAACTTCATTTGAGTCAGTGTGTGAGCAGCCAGGCTGGCACCTCTTACTAAAGGAAATATCAAAATATAAACAATTTCTGCTGCTGAGGAGAGCAGCCCATGCCAGGAGAGGCGGTCAAGGCCCTTTCCTCCTGCCCCATGTAGCAGGGCCCAGCTCTCTGCASTCTTCCTTCCATGGGGAAATGTCTAGGTTCATTTCCACCATGTGGCACGACAGCTTTAAAATAATCCCTTCCCTCAATAGTCAAGGACTTCTCATACATACTAAATCAAAGGTCCAGGCTCCCGTCTGYTCCCAATTAACGTGGCTCTACCAGATGGCTTCAGTGGAGACGCGCAGATCCGCAGCACGTGTGGATCTAGATGGGGACACTGCAGTTGTGACTAGCAAGAGTTGATGCGGGATGTTGGGACCATGGAGGCTGGCTGAAATCCATCAGCTGATAAGCTGCAACTAAAAGAATAACTGGCATGTGTTAGTGAAAAAAGTAACAAGAGAAAAACATTGCAAGTGCTCCAGGGATGCTATGTCTCCATTTTGATTTGCTCTGGGGATGCACTGGTTGTCCCAAGAATCCGGCAGCACTTCTAGAACTGCTGCTTTGGCCTCTTCTTTGGGCCACGGCATGTGCTTTTGCTGGCAGCTGTATGTGACTGCCACCGTTTGGGAAGTGATMATTACGGCAAGGACAAGATAGGAAGTCAGAAGTGCAATGAATGTCCCTGGCAATCGGCAGCACGTGCAAAATGCTGCGTGCACGGGGGGACAGCACAGCTCCAGCCCTGGGCTGCAGGCAAAGGAGTCCCCCATGTGTGCAAGGCCCTGAAAGCACAAGCTTGGCAGGCATTATATACAGGCAACTTTTTCTAATTCAAGTACCAAAACAAAAGAACATCAGYGAGAACTTATATATCACTAATAACCAACAAAATTTTGCTCTTAAAAGAGGTATCATTTGCACATAGGCCAATGCCACAATCATCATCACTGTATATAACAAATACTTTCTTTCGAAGGGTAGTTATCTCAAACATAATACCTAAGTCTGCATCTACAGCGAGCAGAGAGCTATACATACAATCAATAAACAAACAAGGAATTGATTGTGATTATTTCACAGTAATACAATGAATAAACKGTAATCTTCCTCACGGTAGCAGAATCTCTCTGCTCCTCTCTGGGAGAGCTGAATTCAACCTGAGCTGCACTAATATTGCAATGTGTCTTTCAACAGTAATTTACATCACTGCTTGTGAAAAGGGACTGAAAAATAGTTTCTCCTAGGAAACTTCATTTTTTCCCATCCTCATTTTCATGTAAAAATGTTTTTCTTCCTTGAAAAAGCCTTTGAGCTTTTGGTGTGGAGGTGAATTAGAAATGTTGTTTCTATTCACTGGGAGATATTTACCCCAGCCAACATGATGAGATTAAAAAAAAAAAGAAAGAAATGCATAGCCATCATGAAAATGCACAGCAATATGAATCTTCTCCTTAGATTTTTCTCTCAGTAACCATCTGCTTATCAGATTAGATGGAGATACCATAGTGCTTTAGCAGTCAGTCCATTCCTCTTGGGCCAGTATTGTACCAGCATCCCAGAAAATGCAAGGGAGAGCTGGTTTTCTGGACGTGTCATCCTTCACATGTGCTATAAGCCACTGGGGCTGTTAGGATCTTTTCCCCCCTTCTTAAAAATGCATTTTATRTAATTACACTCTATGTAAGTCTGTGTTACCCTGGTGTATTATTTTTGTCCCACACCATCTTTCTCGCTCTTTTCCTGCTGTATTTTGCCACTCCAAGCTGTAAATGTCTTTTTCACCTCAGAGACACCTGCATTTTCATGGAAAGATATACTGATCCCCAAGGTGCAGCTGATGCATCGCTGTGCTTAGCTTGTAAAGGAGCTGGGGGTCCTTTGGGATACAGGGTGCTTTGTACATGTCAGTTGTGATTCACTGCAACTTGCTTCCATCCCAACCTACTGTATCAATCAGAGAAGCAACGTAATTAATTATGACTGGGCTGAAAGGAAGTTGCACACATCAGGAGCAGGATTCCTGGAGTGGTTCATGCTSATGGTCGGCATGAAGATGAGCATGATTAATAGTGACAATGCCATGAACTGTGCCTGCCCGCTGTCTTCTCCTGCCATCCATCATCATCACCACATGTTGGGTGGGAAGGGGAAATGGTTCACAAAGGAAGGGTCAGAGCAGTGAAAAACTTCTATACATCTCTATTCTTCTCTCTTCAGAAAGCAGCTCGGATTTTTTTACCCAGCTGTTCAGCAATAGATGAAACACTTCAACACAGAAATCACAGAAAGAGCCCACTCCCCTCCACAAAGAGAGGTTAATTTGACAAGCCATGTAAAGCATTTTAATTACAATTTGTGTAATGTATAAATAAATATTACATTCTTTCAGTCTACAATGCATACTAGGCATATCTTGTTAAAACGTCCATCTATGTTACTGGGTGGCAGGATTGATTTTGTCCAAGTTAAAAAAAAAAACAAACAAACAAACCCAAACTACTGAGTTTAATAATTAAAAAAAAAAAATAAAGGGGGAATAGATGAGTCTAAAGACAGGAACTGACAAACAATGCAAGTGCTTCCAGCTAACAGYCAAGACATAATACTGCTTGCCAAAAGGCTGGCTATAACAACCTCCTTTCAGTTACAAAAGATTTTGGATTACAGTGGTTTCCTCATTGCATAGACTTTGATCTGTACCCTACGTTAGTGTAAACTGGCACYGAGTGGATGCTCTGCCATTTTACACGGAGAAGCTACTACTCTATTTTTTATCTGCTTCAAATTCATTACTGGTCTTGTATTATGTTATTCAAAACAACAGCCTTACAATCTAATCTAGAATTTTCAGTTTGAGCTGGTCCAAGGGCAAAAGAATCTATAAAATTGCTCCGGATATTTCTTGATCTTGGTTCAGTAACATTTCCTTCCCTTCAAACAGTGTGTCCAGAGGCCAGCTCTTCCAGTACAAGGACATAAACATTTGAGGACAACGAGTGTCTTTCTGTCCATTTTTCTGGCTTTCAGAGTTTAACTAGAACCGGTGGCATCAGAATAAACAGAAATTACAGAATTACAAATTCATGGACTTGGCAAAAAACAAAATCCAGGCGGTACATATTTGGCCTGTGATGGTCTCCAGGTACATATAAAATGCACCCGTCGGGCATTTCCATCAACTGTTACTTTTAAATGCTAACATAAAACAGCACCTTCCTCCCTTGGTGAAACACGGGAACTTTGGTTGTGGAAATTTAGAACAAACTACTAAACAAATGATCCAAGTGCATGTAAAATTAATACTTCCTCCAAACAGAACATATTTCTAGCTAGCATGAAACAATTGAGGCTTATGCTTTCAGGGCAGATACCACACTGAAATAATTAGTCAATATTTGTCCGATGAGTTCTTTAAATGACAGGAAATTATTTATAGCTAACTTAGAAACACAATATTCTTGGTCCACTGCAAACTTGGTGAATTGCAGATTTTCCTGTTTTTTAAAGATCTTTAAAAAAATACAAAATGGAAAATGGTTCAGTATCACCTTGTAAGACAAACAGAAACATAAAACCAGGTAACTTGTTCCTCCTTCACACAGACTAAATGCCAAGGACACATCTTCAAATGAAGGAACAGAATGAAACGGATTGAATAGCAATCTAAAAAGTCTTCTTATGGGTCACATGTCCATAATCTTGATGTTTTATTAGAAATATAAACAAGTTATTGTCTCCTGTTTATTATTTTCATGCTTTCTTATGTTCTCTTTTTTAACAAATATTTTTGGTACTTTGAAACATTATTAGCATTATGATTACGATAACCCATAAAACAAGTTTTCACAACCTCACCTTGCTCAGTTCATCACACTGGTCATTCCCATTTCTTACTCCTTTCTGCTAATTATATTCCACTTCCTAAATCCATGAATGGTAGAACATCCGTTGGAAAAACACAACAAAGCAAAAAACGAAACAAAATAGAACAAAACAAAACAAAAAGCAAACCGTGGACAGTTTGGCAATATCTTTCCCTGATTATAAAAACTGCCCTATCATTTCTCCTGTGGATTCCTTCCCCTCCCCCTAATCTGTCCCAATATATACTGTAGAACTGAAGGCATCAAGGTGTGGTTAAACCCCTAAAACCAGCGAGGAGCTACACTTTGTCTTTGAACTTCTCCATGTAGTTTCGTATCTCTTTGGAGTCCCCCAGGTCCATATCCTGGCACACCCACTTAATATCGTCATCATTGCTACTTAGGATTGAGTTGACAGTAGGACAACCGTCATCGGGTGGGATGGTGGTAAATGTTGTGAATTTTACCCGCTTCCGTTTAGATGTTGGAGAATGTAAAGGTTCGGATTTTTGTTCCTTTCCGAGTTTTCCCCCTGAGTCAGCACACCTATGAATCTGGCTCTGCGTGTTCTTCTGAGCACTGCCATTGAGGAGGTGGTTGCTCTCCTCGCAGCCCGTCCCGCGGTCAATAATAGTTGTGTGCTCATCCTGCTGAGGTGACACATCTGCTGCATTCTCCAGCAGTTCTGCTTCATTTCCTAGCCAGACCCAGTCATGAGAATGGGTCATGGTAGTTTGTCCTTCCACCAGAACCTGCTTGTGACGGTATTTCAGTGCAAATGTTGCACAGTTTATTAGGAAGACGAGGATTGCCAGGCAGAAGACCCCTAGCAGAGCATACATCCCGATCTCCAAATCACTAAGGCCCCTAGGTGTCTGTACCAGGTCATTTTCCTCCATGCCTGTGTTGCTTTTTGGAAGGTCAACTTGAGCAGGGAAGTTGGTGAAGTCTATGGGAATGTTTTGCAGCTGACTATCATCTGAGAGTCTGCTGCCATCCAGCCTATTGTTTTTAATTACTTTATTTTTTATTACGGATTTTGCTGTGGTACTGACTTTCCTGATGGCACTTTCTTCTCGCTCTGCTGAAGAGCTACCGAAATATCGTCCATCCTGACCGTACCGATCCTGATCCGACACCTTGTGCCGCCGGTCGCTAGCGTGGTTTTCAATCTCATCTGCATCATAATCTCCACCTGTATTGGAGTCAGCATCATTCTGGCCAAACTTGACTTTGATGTTGCCGTTCCCCACAGCCAGGACACTTTTCCTCTTGGACTTCTGGCAGGCTTCAGAAATCATCATATCTACCTTGATTAACGTGCCCTGACCTTCACCTTCTGCTGTCACAACTGGCCATTTTAAGGCAGCATTCTGATGGATCGAGACAACAGATTCATCCAACGATACAGCAGAGAGGGAGAAGTCCTTGGAGTCATAGATGTCCAGAGGAGTAACAGAGCTGTCACTGAACTGAATCCAGGTGCTTACCACAGCTTCCTGAAAGGAGAAGGATACGGTTAAAGAAGGAGTCTTCAATAAAACAGCCCAAGGCACTGCAGCTCAGCAGCCTCTCAGCTCTGGGAGGTGGGACATGGGAGTCAATGGTTCTGCACAACATTCAATTGATGGGGCAGAAAATGGGTCATTTTTCACAAAGATTCCACTGCTATCCTTCACATAAATGTTTTGCAAAAGAAACTAAAAAAAAATTGATATGAGGTGTCCATAACATCAACATTAGGAAGCTATAATTTACATGATTTATAAAGAAAGCCATTCCTGTCATACAAAACCTGAAAGAGGAAAATGGAAAAATTACTAGAGGCACTTGACAGTACACCTATTTTCCTCATGTTCCCCATGCAGAGATTTCACAGGGAGCTGTCAGATTAAACAGGGCATAAATATCTCAGTGGGAATAAGGAGCTACCATAGCATCTCACAAATGGTTGCAGCAGAATATTCACCTGAAAGAAAAAGGGCCACAGAGCCAGTGAATTTTGCAGGGAAAGGGCTTGTTTTAAGTGAAATATACTTCATCCCCACAATAACTTAAAAGTCCACTGCACTTCTATGTCTAGGAAGGGATGATGGGGAATCTGGTGTGAGCTCTGATATACAAATGGMCAAGATTTAATTGGACTGTTTTTGTTTTTTTAGAAAAGAAATATTTTTTCAGAAGTCATCATTACAAGCAAATACAWGCTTGAGGTCAGCTCTTCCCATCCAGATGATACAGGATATAGATATTTACTTCTCCCCATCTCAGTGGCTTTCTTTGCAGGAGTTTATTTTTTCATTTGCTCCATGTCTTGCCTGTTCAGCCAGAATACATGCAGACAGGTTGCCAGAATGCGGCTCCACACAGAAATGAATTTCTTTTCTTTACCAGTCTTAAACTGCAGATAGCCTTAACAACGTTACATTTGGGTACATCAGAACAACTGGGCTGAAAATCACCACTGGGGAAAAATATTGCCACCCTGTTAACACCCAGTCATAATACAAATTTACAATCTAATACGGTTTTCAATTGGTCACAATTTGTTACGCTACGGTTATAAACAAAGGGAATTGCGACCCTTCTAGTTAAATTTAAAGCTTTTCAATGAAAACAGCAAGGGGCATTTAGCTGTGCAGAAGGCTGGAATATGCTGAATATTTGATTTCCAAAGTGCTATCAGCAAGTTCTTAAGGGACTGAAAGAGGGAAAATAAGTTGTGGCACAACAGGAACGAAGGCAAAGGACTTGGTGATTCAAATGCACTTCAAACAGCTGAAGTGGAGCCAGGGTAACTCGAAAGCTGGGAAAGGCAATGTGAATAAGGAAATTAAAACAGCTGATCTTTCATTAGAGAAATAATCCTGGAATGGCTGAACAGTCTGAAACACTGCACTGCAGCCTGAATTTGCATCAGAGAAGTGTATAGCGGAGCAAACCCAACCGTGGGAAAGTAAAGAATATTATTTGTATGGATTTGTTTCAAGAGGAAAAAATGCATCTCCTCAGGGAATCTGACACCCTAGTGTCTTCCTTATCCCTAAAGCAGAAGGAGGACAGCCTCATGTGCCACTGGAGAGGTATTATACTGTCTTAGAAATGATTAAAGCAAAAGATTAACTGGAAAGAAAGAGACTGTACAACAAATGCCAGGAGAAGGGTTTAAGTGAAACACTATCCTTGATGTAATTTTAAAGGTCCACTTCTTTTTTCATGAATCTACAGAAGACAAAACCAACAGCAGTGTTTTAAGCATGTATCACAACAGGCTTGATGTTGTCTACCAGTGGTGCCCTCCTCTGGAGAGCAGGATGAGAAAATGAGCAGAAAATTTCATAGAGTCAAGGTTGGTAACAAGGAGGCCTGCATCTCTTCCTAGCTCTACCATGGACCTCCTGTGTAATGGGAAGGTCTGCCTTCGTTCCATATTCCTGATTTTATGAAGCAGATGTAGAGCAGAATGRCATGGTTATTAGCTGAGGTTGGTGGGCACACATGTGGTTTAGTAAAGCAGAAGTCCACAAAAGCCAAGCCATTATTTTCAGTCAGTACTGAGTTTTTCTACTATATTATATTTCAAAGAGACTCTATTTTTATAGGAAGAACCAATTTCTTCACAGAACAACACAAAGCTGTCATGCTATCAATGTGGACGATATTAATTAAAATGAAAAAAAGGGGAGAGAATCTCAAATCCTGCCAAAATACATTGCATCAGCCCAAATATTCTATTTGGCATAYGATGATCTCCCCTCATTCACACAGTTAAAGGCAATCTTAAGGCAGGGAAAGGAAGTGAATTTCCTAAATGATTATAAATTCTGAAAGGCCACAAAAAAAAAAAAAAAAGAAAGAAAAAAGAAAGTGATTTAGTACTATGTCCTTCAAAGAGCTGTTTCTGCAAATCCTATGTGCTGCATCAATAAATCCCCTCTGTATCTCTGACAAGGTCCTCCAATTACTATCAGCAGATGAAGATGGATTGGAGCCTTTGTACCTGCAAAGCTGCTGCCCCATGTCTGATGTCCCCAACTCAGAGGTGACAAATGCCTTTGCTCATTAAATATTAAGCATAAACAAATAGTTTGAAGGATGATCTGCCTCTCCAGTAGCTCTTTCCTCCTCTTTTCCTCTCCCTTTCACACATGCACACACGAACACCTACTCATTTGCACTCTAAACAAATTAACCACAACTACCCATTACTGTCAGCATCTCTTAGAGGATGAGATGATTTATACGGTGACTGTGACAATGTGAAGGGAGTCAGATACTGTACATTAGATCACATCAATGACAACATTTTACAGAATTCTGCTGCTTAGAAAGATAGGTGAAAGAAACGATCAATATATTTGACTCTCTTCCACGTCCAGGAGTAAGAGTCCTTTTAACGGTCTTCATTTACCAAAGCTCAAGTAAGTGAATAAAATTTTTCACAAAAAAAAMCCCTCTCAGTACTTGCCTTCTGAACTTTTAGCTTCAGTAGGGATCTCAGCTGGTATATCCCGAATCACTAGTCACTTCTTGTAAACTTGAGCCACAAGCATTCCTATGTTTGCATTAAACCCTTCAAGGACTGAACTGTTACATTTATAACATTTTTTACTTATAAAATTTATACCTGCATTTATACCGCAAGTGAAATGAAAAGGTGAATGTGACTCTACAAACCATTCCTCTGTTAGGACTGCTCCCTTCAGCATATTTTCTAGTGTGAGAACAACTAGGATGTTGGACGACATGGATGCAGGCAACAGGTAGGAGAGAAGGGGCTGAAAGGGGAGAGCAACAGAAGTTGGCTTCAAATTTGTGAATAAGTCCTGAAATCTGCAGTCAGCTGCAATAGTTTTAGAGTGGAAACCAAAGGCAAGAAACGGATGTCTGGACGGCTCTACAGAAAAGAATGTGTTCCTCCTTCAAACAAAGGCCAAGGAATACTGCTTTCAGTGGCTTCTAGTGGAACAGCTCTGATTTTTTTATCTGGGGACTTGAATGCTGAAATGGGTTTCCCTAGCAATTTTATCATGTGAAATACCAAAGTATTTTATGTGCTTTTATTTTTAAGCCTGTGGCTTATGTAGTAAAAGTTGGGCTTGATGGTTACAATGTGGAAATGAAAGGCAGCCAGGGCTCAGATCTTAATTCAAACCATGCATTCCCCTACTGTGTATTTCTTTCTCTCCTTTTTGTCCAATCTGCTAATGTGACATTCTTTTCCAGTGGGAATTTACTTGTATTTGCAAGGGGAGAATTCAGATTCTTATCTAACAATACATCCTTTCTCCCTCTCCCAAGCTGCTTAATTCCTTTGTCATACTAGTGTGCCACTACATTGCTCTGTCACTTTAAAGTGGATATAAATACACTTAATACAACTAAATACAATTTATATTGCCAGATAGGGATAATGAACACATACCATAAAAAGACCCTCAATATCTGTTACTTAACTCAGGGACGTCAGTGAACTCCCAGTGAACTATTCTGTACGAAGGACATAAGCTAAAACAGAAGAGCATCCTGTCAATCCAAAAGGCAGGGATGCATAAGTAAGTCCAGCTGGTCTCTGGCACAAGAGGTGCTGGGCACCCACACCTCCTATCAGAATGAGAGGTGACAGCTCAGAGGACAATCCCAGAGGTGAGGGAGGACCTCGTAGAATTGGCTCTTGTCACTGATGTCAACAGGAGTTACATGTGTGAAGGAAAAGAATTTGGCCTTTAGCAAACACTAACATTGCTCTTTTTTGCCTAGGAAAACGTCTGTAGTTTTCCAATGGCACTTAGAGATATATTAATGCAGACAGCTATTTATTAAAGTTTTTTTTTTCTTTATTTTATCCAATCTTCCATTTCAGTTCCTTAGACTATAGGTGATACCCTACAGTGATGAAAAAGCTAYGATATAGCTGTGAGCTTCCCCTGCAGAGCCAGCTGAAATATAAGAGTCCTTGAAGCTCACTCTAATCACAAAACACTGAAAACACAGGAAATTTTCTTTAATTTATGATTTTGGAGAAGCCTTAGAGATCACAGTGTTGATTCAACAGTCCTCTGCAAACCAAATGGAACAGCTTTTCTACCTGAGCAGATGGCCACAAAAACAGAGTGCTTACAGCTCGAGTTTCCAAATTTTCAGAAGCAGCTTTATCCAAGATTATTTCAACTCTGATATTTAGAAGTTGGTCAACCTGCATTTATTTTTAGGCACCTAAATCAATGATGGGCTCTTGAGCATCAGTGAACTCCCCATTGATTTCTTAAAAAAGCCACGGCTCAGCATCCATCGGGGTCAACTCAGGTTAATAGTTGCCTAGTTASAGACACCTAACTTAAGGCACACAAGATTAAAAGATTTGACTTACTTTYTTGAGACAGCTAAGTATTGGGGGAAAACGTAAACTTTTAAAGACTTTGCTTTGGCTTTTGCTGCTTCACGCTATTTATGCAGAAATGGTGTAGTCATTATAATCAAGAAAATAATCTAGTCATTATGTTCATTGAAAGAAAGTCACAGCTCAAATACTAAGTTCATTCATATGAYATTGAAGGATGTGTAATAGCCCAATCTGTATAATGTTTTATGCCTTCTATTGTGCTATAGCAATGCACTATTTAATTTGCAAGGCACAATACTGTGCCTGCCAGAGTATCAATTACCCAAGGACATTTGCTAATCTAAGATGAGGCTTGGCTATTGAAAATGTTAAAAGCGGAGCCAGTGAAATATTTGACTAAGAACACACTATTTTTTTTCCATATAACAATGTTAAGACATATACAATCATTTCTGAGAAAAATAAAACCTTCAACGATCTTAGTTTTTTTTTTTTTTTTTTTGCTTCAGCTGTATCAGTGAGGTTTGCATGATTGATTTGGTCTTTTTAGAAATCTCTCTGACGTTTCAATAATGAAGTCTAGCAACATTCATATATTGATATGTATATGCTTAATTCTGGGTTGCTCCCAAGGAAACAAACCCCCTTTTTCAAAATGGGGTTGATTTCCGCCCCCCCCCNCCCTCAGTATTTGCCTTCTGAAATTTTAGTACAGTAGGGATCTCAGCTGGTATATTCTGATTCACTAGTCACTGCCTGTAAACTTGAGCCACAAGCATTCCTGCATTTGCACTACACCCTTCAAGTACKGAAATGTTACATTTATAACATTTTTTCCTTATAACATTACTTTATATAACTTTATTTATAACATTAATTATAACTTGCATTTATACTGCAGGTGAAATAAAAAGCTGTATGGGACTTTACAGACCATTCCTCTGTTAGGACTGTTCCCTTCAGCACATTTTGTAGCGTGAGAACAAGATACAGGTAGGATACGGAGCAAGCAAGAGGTAGAAGAGGAGGGGCTGAAAGGGGAGAGCAGCAGAAGTTGGTTTCTGCAAGATTAAGGAGATTTAAGTTTCCTAGTGACAAAGGATGAAGTGGAAAAAATGTGACTAACTAGTATTGCTACTAAGCAACTAGGTTTCCTTGGGTTTGCTAGGTCCKGGTTTAGAGAAGCTGGAGAAGAAACAACAGATTTTAAACCTCTCTTACATAGGAAAAGATTTTGTGATTCTTCTTACACAGGAAAAAGATTCCTCTTACGTAGGAAAAGATGTGTCAGAGCCATAGTATTTCGAATGATGCTGGAGGACAAACAATGCACTCTGTCCTATACAACAGAACTAGGTTAGCTGTGCTTTAGCTTTTGCTTTTAGTCTTTGTCTAAGGACAATATCTCAGAATTGGTTTCTAAGCCCTGGAGAAGGGCATAAATCGGTTAATTACATAAGATTCTTACGTTTACAAGATGAAGGAAATTGAACAGATGGGCAGTATGTCCTTCTCGTTTGGGCATTTTCCTGCCACTAAGTTATAAAACAATCTAAATTATTTTTATGTTCCAGAAAATTAGGTAGCAATAATCATGAAAATGGGTCATAAAACTTGACTTGAGTTCTCTCCCTACTTTTGYGGGATGAAATACAATTTTTGTGAGAGAGAGAGCTGTGGATGGCATTAATTGCATGGTCCCCAGGCCCACCTGTCAAATCAACCGACTGAAAGAGTAATGAGCATACAGCTTGTTCCATTGCTCCTGACCCTTGTTTTTAAGTCCGATGCACAGCAACTGTTTGTCTTGATCTGGTGTCATTCTCCAGTCCTCCTTTCCATGTGGGTTGTGACCTGAAACACACTTCTTGAAAGACTCCCTTTATGGAGATGGATATTTACTGGCTTGAATTAAGTAGGAGCAGCAGAGTGATGCCCTAATGAACTGAGTGATGAAGCGCCCAAAATTCTAGTTAGAAAACAGAAGAAAGGAGTTGGGCTTTCTGCTGTGACTCCAAAAAGAAAAACAAATGTGTCTGGCTTTCTTCTGCCTTGATTTTATAGCCCTCCAAAATACTAAATTGTTGTGATACCCACAGCTCTGTGCTTGCCGGCATGGAAAACAAAGGCATGCTCATATAGCATGCAAGGATCACTGTTGTAGACAGTGCCGGCTGTGCTGCAAAAATAAAAGTCTAGGACAGCCATAGATATTGCATTATTTAAAGAAGGGGCACTAAATATTTAAATAATACAAACGTAGGTGTTGTCAGAACTTTTACTTAGGATTAAGTCCATATATCAAGGTAAAAAATGAGAAGACAATTCCTGAGTGCCTCCAGAGGAAAGTGATTGCCACAGATGTACTACTCTCTACTGTGGCATTTAGCTTGTAAACTACTGAAACACCTCAATATATCACATTGATAAAATATCGACCAATGCCAGAAGGCAGCAACAGTGAAAACTGGACTGCACATTACCTGCTTAGGAGTATGAAGCAGCTCTTGGGCAACGGTTGTAGCCACAATTGCCCGACTATTTGCTGTGCTTGGCTGAAGAAGGAGAGAMAGCCCAGCCACCAGTTGGACGCCGAGGTCTGTTATGGTCACTTTGTCATCCAGCACAGTCACTGTCTTCTCTGCCAGGATGGAGTCGGAGAGAGGAGACAAAACCTGTGGAGAAACCCAAAAGAAAAGGCTGATCAAATAAAGTCATTATCTCCTTGGTCACTATCTCCTCTTGTCTTCAAAATTTTAGACAYGGAAATGAAACGACAGACCATGCTGAAAAGGCTGTCTGGCTTCATGCAGTGCATGAGCAAAAGATGTTCAGTACCTGCATCGTTGTCATTCCTACTTCCCGTCCAATCAAGATCCTGCCGTCCTGCAGCTTGGCAATGTGAGGTTCCTCTACTTTCATAAAATCCATCACCAGGTCTGTAATGTCGAACTGCCAGTCTGAGCCCARGAGGTAGTTGAGCGGACCCCACGGACTAGAGTCCTCGGCTACAAACTGAGTCAGGACGCGCACCGTGGCGTGCTGGTACTGCAGAGTGCATCCTCGGCCTTTCCGTTCGTCTTCATCCTCATCATCACTGTCCCTGGTGGGTCTTTTTTCCATTAAAAAAAGAAACACAAAGACATATTTTCAAGAACATCAATGAAAACACTGCTGATTCCTGGCTAATTAAGCTGGTGAAGAACCATGTGAATGGACTAAATTCCTTCTTCTGAACTGAACTTATTAACTTGGGCAGTTCAAGTAAATGGATCTTACCAGGACATCACACTGTACCCTGGAGCACACAATAGACACACACAAAGAATCAAAATGCTCACAGACTTTAAAAGCTTTATTACATTTGCGGATGTCCAATGCAAAGCTGGAAACTCCACTATTGCCATTCCTAAGGGAAGGACTCTGTACTTGGAGCGTAGGTGCTGTAGGTTTTGCTGAGGATTAAAATCATCTCCACTCTTTTCATAAAAATATCCCCCCAAAATGAGCAACTCAAACGCACCTTTTGTTGGAAACAATAGGCACTCGCCAGCCTTTTATTTGGCTCAATTCAGTGTCCGAAATGTCGATCTGAAGAGGCAGACGTGGAACCCAGACTGTGATTTGCAGAGGAGCACTCAGATACTGATACGTGAAGTTCACGAGCGCATTGACCTTGCCCTTCATTTCTTTGCCATTGACAAAAACATAGTCACACCTGTCAGAAACCTAGTGGAAGGGCAGGAAGGAGAGAAAGAGAAGGAAACTGCTGTGACAAACGAAGCTCCAAGTGGAACCCTCAGCACCAAAACCAGAAGAGGCTCCCTTCTCCTCATGCTTGTTCATGACGGCCTTTTACCAAAGAAGCAGCTGAGGTCCCTCACAAGCTCACRAGGTGAGACCACACTAGAGACGGCTGAAGACTGGATCCTACTTCTAAAAGTAACGGTTGATCTTGTGTTTGCTATGCAATGAACCACTTGCAGACCACAGCTCTCTGGAACTTAGAAAGAGCAAGGCTCCTTCCCAGCTTGCCCAAGAGGAGCCCAGCAACCCCAGACAGGTCTCACTGGAGGCACACAGCAAATCAAAGCTCTGATGAGTTCTGACCTCAACAGCGGGTAACAGTGTTTTTAGTCTAAAGACAGAGCTGGCTCTGGAGTGGATTTCATCCACTGAAGAATAACCTCAATAAATGTTATCTATTTATAAATGTTTACATTTTGATTAAAGCTATAAAGCATTTCTAAACACTGCAGTAGATTTATCATTAACATGTAAATACTGTCCTGAAATATAAGCAAGCATTAGCATAGTCTTGTAAGAGTTATATCAGTAATCACGGCTTTAATCAATGTTGTAATTTACAGACCATTGAGTTTTCTCATTTATTACCTTACTGAGTACTAGTGATAAAATCACTCCCGAATATATAAATCATYAAGAGGGATGCAGATAGTATGAAGTGACTCCATGTGATAAAGTCATTGTCATATCTATTCCTAAAGGTGTCATAAATGTCTGGGGAAATCTTGTGGCACATTAATCATACATTAAGTGGCTAGCAATGGGAGCTGTTACATTACTAAATGAGTTGGTATGTCTGCAGAAATTAACAGTGAACCCAGCAGATCTCTTCAATTTCTAGTCCTGCTCCCATCCCTTCAGAATCCTATTTCATCATCCATAATGAGTACCATTAGCACTGGTAATGTGTCTCCCACCTGAACATCTATTTATACTACCGCCCCGCTCCCTTCAATCTCCACCCGCCCTTTCCAATACCATTTTATTCAAATGAGGTTTATCAGCTGGAAATGCTCATTTCCCCAGGCTAATCAAACAGATGGGTGCCCTCTATGACCACAGATACGGGAGCTAAACTGTTCCCAGTTGGACATCCACATCCAATTTGTATCCTCTGTAAGGATTAGGCACTGCTTGAGTTCTGGTAGAATATTTGATGATGAGATTGCAAGAGAGAACTTCAGAGAACACAGCGCAAACATTTCTAGGACACATCCTGTAAAAAGGCTTATGCTCTAAGGGGGTTGTGGTCACTGAAAACAGAATTACATACTATACTAAGTATGTATAGTAATAATATAATAATAATTATTATTATATACTATAGTACTAATTATATACTAYACTAAGACCATATCCACTTGTTTGTTTAGGCTTCTGCCTTAGACTGTCTCAGTCAGGTTAAAAAATGGGAAGGGTGGTAGAAATTCCCTCATTTTACAAACAGGAATGGTATGCCCTTTTTTACATAGGTTACTTGAATGGTAATACCAAAAGGAGCTTAATTATTAGGCTGCTTCAGAATGCTCCTTGTCCCCTATGAAGGTCCTGTGCAGCAGAGCTGTGTCATGGAGCACAGTGACTGAGAAGCCTGTCTGAGATGGGCTGCAATTCCAATGCATCAGCTCCACCTCKGGAGGGGATGGCACCATGGAAGTGCTTCTCATGCAAACAACTCCAACCTCACATGCAAGCAAGAGCTGCACTCCAGGAGTTAGCGTTGACACCCTGACCTAGGGGCTATTTCTGTCTTCAGCTGTGTGCAGCCACCAGCTCAGACTGGCGGCACTCGGTCTCTTATTTYACTGCTAGTATCCAGTGTAAGCCCACTGCTTAGCTGCTGTTTGAGAGGAATGGGAAGATCCCGTGGGTGACTTCCCTCTAGACACTGATTTCATCCATGGATAAACTTTAAAGGAATCCAATCAATACACTACAATTAAAGGTTACTTGTTGCACATCACCCTCAGCTGAATTTGAAAAGCAGCTTCAGATATGGCTCTTCTTTTCAGAGCCTCTTTTCTTTCGCGCAGAAGCTCTTGGGTGGCTTGTCAGTACAATCTAATCTAATTCTGCTTGTAGCAGCAACCATTCTCATTCTGACTGTGGCTCCATCCTGCTCATTTCTACTGTGTTGCTCTCAAAGGCAAATTAATGAACCTTTTTGAGTCAGCTAATTGTCTGAGTTTCTTATTTATGAAGACAACAAACCACATATTGAYAAAGATTTCCAGTAACACATTCAGCTTCAGACTGACCAGGTGTGGCCTAGGTGTATGACTTACTATTATCTAAGGCCCAATACTGTCAGTAACAGAACAAATGCAACTCTCACAGAAAAAAACACAACAATAATAGCAGCAAACCTGCAATTCCTAAATGGTTCTGGGCTGAGATCCAATCTCCATCTTTATTTGTAAGGCTGCCGCACGCCTTCATGGATATGCGACAAACAAATGGCTAAACAAATACATCCAGCATCCTAAGGAAGTGGCTGCTGGAGCTATTAGGCAGCTCTTAAAATTGCCACAGGTTAATATTTATTACTGAATATGCATCAACCACAGTGGCAGGTCTTTATGACTTTCAACGAGAAAAACATTTCTCTTTTCACCAAGTACAAGCCTTGTTAATGTCCTTACATATGCTCTTTCTTTTGTTCCTTTATTTCTGATAAAGAGGCAGCCCAGGGAGAGCGCAGTAGGACCAAAGCTTATATTGGATTGCATTGCTGTACGCATTTTAACTGTTGTTCTTTCAGGTAGCCACTCTCCTAGAAGTAACATTGATTGCTTTTGACACAGAAAGGCCACAGGTAGAGCCACAGAGGGGCTGAAAGGGAGAAGGGAGCAATAATATCTCAACATCCAATTCACAATGCGAATGTGTTCTGCATATGCACAGGCTCAGAATATTCCTTCTCTAGAAATATTCAATTAAAGTTATTCCACACTTTGCAACTTCTGTAATCACTGCCTCTCTGCTAAGCATTGTTGTAGAAGACTAGGTGGAATAAGAGCAAGTGGAGTCACTTCTCTGTCCTTGTCTCGTGCAATACTGCTTAAAAACAAAAACTGAAAAAGATTCCTCAGACTGAGTGAACAAAATTGCCATGTACTGTTTCTGCTATAATTTAGAGCATCATCAGAAAGCATGTGTAAGGCCTCATTTGCTAAGCAGGCTCCTTACAAAAAAAAAAAAAAAAAAAAAAAAAAAGAGAGAGAGAATTACATGACTGGGACATAGCAAAGGACCCCCACAACTCAGATGAACTCAGATGGAAATCATATCACAGTCATCTTGTTTTTGGAGCTATTTTAAGCAGATCTTGTAACACTATTTAGTTCTGTTCTCATATATGATTAAAAAAAGTGGAAAGACAAGACTGGTGATGATGGTATCTCTCTTTTTCACCTGTATTTTAAAACATCTATGAGAAGGTCACTGAGAAATCCCATACCCACTTCTCACCTCAGAGTCTTGCCCAAAAGTTTTAAGGCACTTTCTGAGAGAGACCAGAAGGCCGGAGATTTTGAACGAACGGGGATCGCTCTCTCACCTCCCGGAATATTTATACTTTTGCCATGAAAACATTTTCTTTYAGAAACTGCTTTTTATCTTTGGCATCTGAAGAGGTGTGAGATGATGAAGGGAAACCTGCTCAGCCACCACTGTTACCGTATTGTTTTTTTTTTCCATTGTGCATTGCAGATCAGCATGAAGTTTTGCATTTTAAAGAGCTTTCTGATGCTATTTCAGCAGCTTCTTTCATTATTAAGCTGCATTCAGCTACTTTTCCTTCTTCTGTTTTTCCAACTTCTCTGAGATTAAAACTAAAATAAAGAAGCCAAGCAGCAAAAGACAGGGCTAAGCACAATTCCCAAGGGGTTTCTTCATTCCCTCTCCTTTTTCTGCCATTATATTTTGTGTCCCTTTGTACCAAAGGCCATTGCCTTTCCAAATGACTTAGATAGTTTCTCTCTGCCACAAATCACATTTTATTGAGCTGACAGAGCAAACTACTGTCTGGAAATCAAAAGAAGAGTCGCTCCTGAATCACAGCTTGCAGCACTAGGTGCCTTTGTGATCTGGGGAGCAAGTGCAGCCCCCCACCTGGTAACGAACAAATTAGTTGCAGTGAATATTAAGGAGATTCCTTGTGGGGTTCCTGAACAAATGCATGATCTCTGTGTCTTCCGTTACTTGCCACTTTGCAGATGMAGGTTCTGATCCTGCGGGGAGCTCTGAACTGCAGAACTATCACAGCACGAGCTGCCTGAAGCCACCATGAAGAATGGGACAACCTACTGAAACACAAAAGGGGGTGTTGACACATCTGTAAGAGGGAGGAAGAGGGTAACCCTGCTTTGTTGGGTTCAACTTCACTGCAGATYCCTGAGAAATGTTCATGCAATTACAGCTGGGTGGAGGAAGATGCTTTACAAGACAAATTCCACATCAAATATAAGTTAAGTCTGTGTTTCAAATGATGGTGAACTCGGAACACTGCCTGCTCTGCTCCATGTCTGTAGTAGCCAGCAGTGGAACGAATGACGACTACAAGTCCTAAAAATGAAGGAGTGTTATAGACCCTGGGMGCCTCTTCTAAGCTTGTTTAATCCTCTAGTGTTTTATTCACCTCTGGAGTCATCAGTTTTTACCAACAGGCCTCTGAAGGACAATTCTAAAGGACAAAAAAGAGATGCTCCTAGTAGAGCAATAACGTTCAGCTTATGAACACTGTGTATTTACCAGCTACCAGCCTATTTTCTAGGAACAAGTTTGTGTGCCTTGCCCTTAATTAAACACTGATGTTTAAAATGTCTCAAAATTTGAAAACAGAAATTAAGTGAGATGAAAGTGATAGAAAGAAGATCATTCATTGACTACTCCTAACATTGACTTTTCTCTTTTTTGCTAAT